GACGTTTCGTGACTTTGTGTAAGTCACTTCTTCAGAGAATAAATAACCAAATTAAAATTATTCCAAGTTATTTATTCTCTGAAGAAGTGACTTACACTAAGTCACGAAACGTCAGAAAATCTAATTTTCTACTCATTGGGATATTACAAATATATTATTTGTTTATCCTCGCAGATTGTTTCGCTTACACCAGGCTTCTTGCTGCCAGTGGCTCGGATGAGTTGGAAGAGCTTCCGGCAGTTACCAGATGCAGCTGCTGCTTCCAGCTCATTAGCACGCTCCGACCACCAGGCTTCGCGGTCCTTACGCAAGCTTTGCCCGATTTCATTACGTAACAGTCGTCGGTTGTGGTCAGACTCACGATCACCCGGAGTAGACCGACGGGCTTCGATGAGTTGTAAGGAGCCTGAAGAAACCCAGTGCTTATAAGCGGGATGTTTCGCGAACCCACAACTGACTGTGCCCGCCATTTTCATGGCGTCATGCAATTGCAACCAATGCTCATCTATACTTTTCGGTGGAATGGTATCTAGCCTACAAGCTAGCTCGGTTCGATACTTACTTGCAACAGAAGTTGCAACCAACTTGCTGACATCAATCCTTTGGTGGCGGTCACTTCGTTGTCCATTGAAAAGTGAGGTGAGATTGGCACAGACCAAAGCATGGTCAGAGTGCAGATAGGTACTCGAAAAGGAGCGGCTGTCTTGTACACAACCACGCCAGCGGTAGCTGATCGCGATGTGATCAATCTGAGTCCAGGCTTGAGATGCAGAGGGAGGACGCCAGGTGGCACATCGGCGATGACTGTGCCGGAAGTTAGTGCTAGCCAGAAACAGGTTGTGGTCTGTGCAAAGTTGCAGCAGACGGTCCCCGTTATCTGTTCTGCGACCAACAAGTCCCCATCGGCCACCTAAACGACTCTCTTCTGTGTCTAAGACGCCCGACTGAGCATCCAAGTCTCCGGCTATTACTACAATATCTGTCGAACGCACTTTCTGGAGAACAGATAACTGGTGGTAAAAGTCATCCTTGATTGCATCCGGGCTGCAATCTTGGAGCGTAGGTGGAGATGACGAAAAGACATCGTTTCTCTCTCCGATTTCTCCTCACTTTGATGGAACTCTCTAATGCAACAGCACATAACCGACTGTTAATGGGGATCCAATCGATTAGTGCTGCCTCAGCTCTAGCACTTAATGCGACACTTAACGCCAGCAAGAGCAGACGAAGATGCCACAGGGTCCCCGGATAAACGCACGTAAAACAAGCTTTTTGAGGCGACAGATGGAGAGTGAATTTGTAGTACTTCACCAGAGTCCCTCCGGGGGTTACTGCCGGTCCCAAGCCCGGATAAAGGAGGAGGGTTGGGTATGGGGTTAGCGTCCCCATTCCGTAGATAACCAACTCGCTAAAAAAATGTTAAGTAACCAGAGTCTTGAATACGGGTCTCGGATAGATAATAAACATCGATATTGAGACTTTCCAAAGACATAGCCACCCCTATCTGTTGTCCGTCCTGCATAAGTGTGCGAACGTTGAAGGCAGCCAGTTTGAATGGTGCGCGTGGTTTCAGAAAAAGTGCTTCAGTATTCGTATTTGGTGGTAACATTCAATTTCCCACCAGGTAGTGACTCGAGAACGTTTAGATAGAACCGAGTTTCCACCATAGGCGAGCTGCTGTAATATTCGAAAAATAAGGATACAGAAAATGGGAATAAAAGAGAGTGAATAAATGACATAGTAAATAATAATAATAATGTGAATTGTTTGACTGTAAATCGAAGCGAGAATAGAGTTTTCAGTAAATATCGTCATTTTCATTATATATTTGTAACTAAATGTCCGTTATACGCATTTTCATCCGTATATTTGGTTCGTGTCCAAATTCAAACAGACTTTGTTTTGTATGTTTGTTTTCATTAACATGGCATTTCTGTCATTTAAAGACAACTTTTAGCGATAAAGTCATCATTCTGTTTTCCCTCAATTTCTGCTTGTTTTTGATATCTTACGTAATCATGCCTCGTCAAACAATCAGGAAGACTTTAAGTCTTAATTTGGGCTCGAATAAACCTTTAGTCAAGCAAAGCTATTCTACTGTCGTATTTAAATTAATGAGTGAATGTACAATTGTGACTAGCCGTTTACTACGATTACGATTCATCGATTTTAGCGATTGGGACGTATTACTTATGTTACATAACCGCCTACGTCAATTTAAACAACTTTCTACATCAACTTTGTAGTTTAAACAACTTTCTATACTCAAGTCTCATATTCGAGTCCGGCAGCATATACATTAGCATAAACAATCTACACAAAACGTTCAAAACTAACTATACGAACAAGTGCTTGCGGTGAGACTATGATTTATGGACGGCCTTTGAGCTAAGCTAGATTGACCTTGAGTGTCCACCTAATATCTATGACCATATGAGTGTTCTAAACCGGTGTGCGAAATTAGAATTATGTTTTACAGTTAATGAATAACGTTAGGAATTAGGTTTCGGATTTTCATCACGAACTGACATCAGCTATAACGCCAAAACTATTTAACGAAATTGGATGACTGAATTTTGCACCAATATCCGAGGCCTATTATCATATACTTTATTGGTTCGTCCATAAATTATAGTCTCGCTGTGCCTGTTTACTGAGTTAAATTAAACTACATTATGTTGCTCCATCAGGTCCCGGGTAACATTCTTTTTTAAAATCCTCCACTTGTATTTGAAAAATATTCACCAACAATCATGTTGCTACCCAGTATTTTTGTATTTGATGGGTTAAATGAATATTATGTTTTATTTCTAAAGTTAGTGTTTATATTCGTCAAGCCATTTATTTAAAATTGAGTGAATAACGCAACTGTCATCCATATTAAAAAAATAATCTTCTTAGTCTGGACCGGACCGTAGCTGCTACATTGACGTGGTAGTTGGACCTGCCTATCGGTAACTCACGCGAACCATATTGGATGAAACACGTTCCTTTAGGTCCTACCGTCCCAGCCAGATTGGTTGGAGAGCGGTCAGATTAAAAGCAGGAACTTAAGGTCCGAGGGGGAAGTACTGTAAAAGGGTGTAACATCAGTAGGTTGTTCACCTCAGACAATTAGCGTCTTCAGCAATGCTGCCTTCCCACAACAAAAGGAAGGGGATAGAAAAGACTGACCCTAAGAATGTCACACCTCACCTTACCCCACGGATTTCCGTCTCCGATAGGAAGGCCTTTTAAAATGCAGAGCTAACTCATCAAAGGCTTTTTATAAAAAAGGCCGTGGGTGACCAACTTCAATCAGTTATTTCTTGGGCTCCGTGGTCACGCTCCCAGATTGCTAGGAGTGCCACTACCTACACTTCCACTGATTGCAGCTCGGTTGAAGTTAAAGATGAATTTTATGGGAGACTATCCAGCCTCCTTCAATTAGCTAAACGCCCTTATACAGTAATAGTGGCAGGTGATTTTAATGTTTATGTATGTAAAGGAAACCAAACCGAAAGGCACTTAGGTAGGTCTTTCTGTGCTGCGGCTCAGCGAACAAATAATGGCGACCATGCGTTGCAACTATGCTCGACTAAATGTTTATTTCTACCAAGCACCATCTTTAAGCAGTAGGAGAAACATCGTATGACATGGCGACTTCATCAATCAACTCATCGATGGACTCAAATAAATCACATTACCATTAGCCATCATTGGAGGGGTGTATCGAAGACTATCGCTCATTATGGAGCACATGTCTAGACTTAGATCATGATCCAGTACGAGCGCGTATTTGTGTACATCTTACTGGACGTAAAAAAGCCACACCAAGAAAACCCCTTAGAATTCAACTTAATGGTAGAAAAAACTTAGGAATATATTTCAATAACCACTAGGAAAGGAGTTAGTCAACCGTTAGAATGCTATCCACCGCGATGTAGCTTGGTACGATGTACAAAAAGCTGTGGAAACAAAAGTAATGTTCACTAGTAACTTAAAACAAAACGTTACGAAAGTCAACGGGCTCTACAGAACTGACAAAAGCTCGGAAACTCTTCCCGTCTAGCTTCGAACACAATGAAAAGTGGAGGCAGCTAAAACGTAGGCTGATAAAAAGCCTACTTAATGATTGTGAGTAGTTGTGGGTAGCGACAGCGGAGGAAGTGGGAAGGCAGTAGCGATAGTCAAAAGTAGACAATTGGTATAGACTACCTGGATGGGGTTCGTGTGATTATCGTAACCATTGGTTAAAGACTTTGAATGACATTGCTCAAAATCGTCTGAAATGGCTCAGGCGCATCCGCTCCTTATCTTTCCCCAAATCCTGACATTTTGAATTCCTCATAACATATTTTTTTATTTCGCTAATTTATATTTTCTGTAGTCGTATCCTCGATGCCTAATCTTTCCTATTACTACTGCCTATATTATTCCGGGTTTCAGCCTGACGTCTCTATGCTAGTCGGGTATGGCAACTCAAACCGGTGTACATACGTACAGGTATGGGATAACTATCGGGATGTATGCTGTACGGATGTCATTCCAGTGACTCACACTACGTACTGTTAACTGATGCCGGGATTAATGGACGGAAGTGGAGGCGATCAGTTTAATGCATCTCTATAAAGTGGAAGATTACTGCATATATGATCTGACCCGTTTTGCTGCACCAGAACTTCTTAGTTGGGCCATTTTCCTTAGAGTTATTATAAGTTGTGATGTAAGTGTCCAGAAATGGAAAGAGCTTTTGTGTTCAGATCTTGTTTAAATGAATAGTTACACGTATACAGATTCTGTGTACGAATGTTGTTAACCGTTCCAGACTGGTTTTCATATACATATTACGTTAAAATATAACCATACCCGGTCATGTACGTTATGAACATTGAAGAGTGCTATAATAATACGAAATAATCTTCGCTCATGTTTAAAAATAATCTTTTGTGACTTTTTGCAGATGAACTATCATTATTTCATCGGTGCATGTTTTGCTGCTCTTTTAAAAATTCTAATAGCTGTTAACACGAGTTTTCGCTCAGCTTGGTGATTTGAATCCTGAACTTGTATCAGATCAGAAAAGAAAGCTCGTAATGGTTCCTCCTCAAATGGCTCGTGTTGGGACCAAAAAGACTCTGTTTGTAAATTTTTCAACTATTTGTCGTTCTTTAATGAGAGATCAGTCTCATCTCACAACATACATACTAACTGAATTGGGTACTCAGGGTTCAGTGGATGCTAACGGTGCTTTACTTATTCGTGGACGTTATACAAGTAAACATATGGAACCTGTGCTGAGAAACTACTGTAGTAAGTGTCATGATCTCTAATTTTTTAAAGTTGATGTCATTATTTTTATTGATAATAATAGAAGTACGTGTTAGTTATAGAACCTCGGTCCTATGATTTTTGTAAATCTTTGTGTATAACTGAAATGTGTGCGAGCTTGTCTAAAATAATTTCTATAATCTTCGGTTCCTCATTATTAAGCAGTTAACTAAATCCATTCCTATGTTCTGTTAATATGTTGTCGATTATTTTTAGATTATCCCAGGTTCTGCATCGTTAAGTTATACAAATCGTTGATTTACGTAATATCCTGGTAATTTGATTCTACTGTTCTCGATATTTTAATTATGTCAAGAGATAAACTGGTTATTGTCATAAACAACATCTGAAAATTCCAAAACGATGGATCTTTTGTTCGAGAATTGAACGCTAGCAGCGACATGATAGTGTACAAAATGTTGGTTTCGTTTTTCACCTTGATCCTGGTGTTGAATCAGACTGAGAAGCCATCCCTTTTAGTTCAGAATATTTTACATCTGTATATTATTTAAACATTTTTTGTGGGATTAGAAGTCGGAAGGTAAGGTTGTTCTTCTCATCGTTTTCTACTGAACTCGATATAAGAACCTAAAACAAAGAAATTCTTGATGTATAAATTACGTAAAGTGGAGTAATGCTACAGGCAGTAGTAAAGGACATAAACGAAAAATGACTACGTAAACACAATTCAAACCATTCTTATCATTGTTTATATAACAACAAGAAAGTCGTATTCACTTTACGTTCCTGATAACCTCTCAATACACTAAGTTATGTTAGACACCATTCCCCAAATATCGGTCCATATGCAAAGATACGTATCATATTTCTTGTGGCATCTTCTTCTAGTTCTTGTCTCACTAAACGCCAGGGCTGAGACTGCACTGATCGATCGGACTTGCATCAACATTCAGTCATGTGCTGTTAGATTAGAAGGCTTCATCAAAATGAGTATTCGGTGTAAGAAACGATGTCTTTTCTTCATCGCCAACGCATCGACAAGCTGCATCCCGGATGCGACCAAGGATGAGTTTGACCACCAGTTAATAGTTCTTCTACAAAACGTACGTTCGACAAGTATTGTAGTACTAGCCGTATATTTGAATACACAGGTCGAGGGTCTAGGTACACAGAAAATTCGTTTGGGTGGCCGATGAAGACCTGTTAGTCGCAGGCCAGGTAACGGTGACCGTCTACTGCAACTTGGTGCAGACTACAACCTGTTTCAAGGCTAGCTATTAATCTACTGTTAAAATTTCTCTTATTACAACCCAGCTATTACTATTGCTTAGTATTCTTGGACGCTAATCCACTCGATAAGTCTCCAAATCAGCACACAGTTGAACAGGAACGAAATTATACTCTAAGTAACGATGGCAGATGGAAGTAAGAAGCACAATAAGAGATACGTTTGTATATTTATGGTTTTTACATGACAGTATTCCAGAGTCTTCTCCAAGTATCGGCTGGTGCTGATTAAATAAGAAATAGCCAATCAACGCGCACCAACACAATCGTGTACGGAAAGTGCGGCTTCGCAAAACGTCCCGCGCATAAGTGTTGGGTTTCTACAGACTCCTTACAACTCGTTGAAGCACGTCGATCTACTCCGGCCAACCGCGAGTTCGACGATAAATGAGGATTGTTACATAATAAAATTGTGCAAAGTCTGCGCAATGATCCAGAAGCCTGGTAGTCGGAGTGAGCTGAGTTGGGAACATAAGCATCTTCTGGTAAACGCCGGAAGCTCTTCCAGCTCATCCGAATCACTGGCAATAAGAAGTCTGGTGCAAATGAAACCATCTGTGTCCGGGAATTAAAGTGTTTCAACATAGCGAAACGAGTCGATTCTTATCCTTATCTTCAAAAAGAGTTCACGTCACCTATGCAACAACTATCGATGGATAAGTCTACTTCCGATTGCTTCCAAATTATTGGCTCACTTCATACTTCTCAGATTGTTCAAAACACGGGAAAGACTGATTCGCTAGGGGCGAGTTGGTTTTCATTTTGGTTGAGGATGTATTGATCACATATATTTCCACCTTCCGCCAAACTTTAGGACGCCGTCATGCCTATTGCAGCGCAACGCGTCGTGACATCAGGCCCACCGTCAGTCAGTTAGACAGGACACGTTTCTAGAATTGTCTGTTAAAGGAGAATCTGTCTGGCAAGTTTATTAACATCTTGAGGGCCCCATATGCAAACACCTCAGGCAGAGTGAGGGCATACCACCACCTCTATCAATTGTTCCATCCAAGCAGTGAGGTTGGGCAGGGTTGCCCAGTCAAAACATTCCTCTCCAACTTAGCCATCGATAAAGTTTTAGAGACAGCTCTGATATACGTAGGTAACGGTGGTTTTGGTTTGTGACCTGGAGAAAGACTTTTCAACTTTTAGCATGCGGATGATATTGTCTTACTGCGCGATGATACTCAAGTCATACAATCCACACTCAATTAGTTGGCAACCAATATCCGTACGTCTGGCGTGTGCTCTGCACCTTCTAGGCGCATAGTACTTTTACAAGACTATCAGGACGCTAAACCAGCATTCTCTCTGGGTCGTGAGCAAGTCGAAGGAAGTCTAGAAGTGCGTATATCTGGGTAGCTACGTAAGTGCTGGTATGTTTTGAGATAGGTAAAACAAATAAACCTAAATATGCTATTGATTAACGCAGTCACAGTGCAAGTTACCAACTTAACAAGATGAATATTTATTGGTGTTTTGAAAATGTTCACAAAGTAGCCAGTTATTAGTTTCGGTGAACTGATTCATATCTTTCGTTACAGTCAACTTCACGTTTTCGTTTTAAGGAGATATGTTTTATTATAGCATTCGGTCATCAAACCTTCCCTAATTACATTTTTTATTATTCATAACATATTCTTGCTTCTATTTACTTTTTTGTTCAGGAACTTACGTGTTGTGTGGTACCTGCCAGTCTTCTGAAACAGACCTATGCAAAGACTCGAGACTTCTTTTCCTCCACTGTCGGCGATGTGGATCTCGTTTCACCGTAAAAACAGTGACTTCCGGATTCCAAGCACTGACAGGGAAACGTGCTGCTTTGCGGGCAAAAACACAATGATGATACGTTAACTGTTCCGGGTTTTTTACTTCGTCGACCTAAAGCACAAACTATCGAAATAAAACGCTATTTTATTTCCAGTAGTATTCTTTCTAGTACAATATGCAAAGATACTTTTGTTTACGCATCTACTAATTAGTTTCAGCAAGATTCTTAAACTGTATTAATATGAACGCCTTATACTTGAGGACGTACATATAGAATTCCAGGTGTTATATTTCTAAACATTTGTTATGACTACCTTGAAGGGTGTTGGTAGGTAGATTTAATTTTAAACAAATAATTAGAGAGATTTATTGCACTAATATATATATATATATATATATATATATATATATATATATATATATATATGTCGGCAGAGTGAATGTAATTAAGAAACGAAACACGTCTAATCTATTAGATCTGCGCCATGAACGATGAGTGGAATTCTCATAGTTGTGAGATTTACCGTCTGGTTGGATACGAGTGACGTTCCAACTTATTCCCGGATCTCGGAGGTAGAAGTTTGTTTCCATTACGGCGAGGTTGATGGGAAAAACAGACCATATTTAAAGGCCTCCAATGTCACTGGGTTTTTTAGTTCCCAATCATTTGAGACTCCATTTCAAAGTGAAGGCGTCCTCCGAACGATTCTGTTCGGAATATGTGTAACGATCTAGAAATAGTGTGTTTACTTTATATCGGGTGACGCACGTTAACCCACTTAGGGCTTACATCCAAGCGGTTAGCATCGATCGTAAAATACTATTTAGTCCATCCATCCTATGCTTCATTGTGAATCTCAATGGTCGAGTGCATGTACGTCCATCTGGAAGTTTACAACAGGTTCAGTGTACCTACAATTGTCATAACGTTGTAGTACATTCAGGTTCACGGATAGTTAATGGAATACACAAATTGAGGAGCTAACAAAATGCGTCCATTTATCTTGTATTTAGAAGTGATCATTCCAATTTTTGGTACGTTCTTAATAGATGGGCACCAATCGTTCTACACGTCATAAAAAGTGAAAATGGTTTACTAGAATCTTATACCGCTTCTAAAGCACCTGTGATGCTAATTTTGTAAATAAAGTACGGTACTGCAAGAGGGTATAGCTTCATTACGCAGAATTAAGTCGGTCAGTTTCAATAATATGTGATCTAATTACCGTGAGATTAGCTCTAATGTAGTTTGTCATCAAGGAATATGTTTGGTTGAGTGTTGTACTTCCTTGTTTTGCTGATGGTCTACAAAAACCCTCGGAGCTACTTTGACGTGAAATCCATGGATATCGTTTTAAGAAAGTAACCAGAGTACCTAACCACTGGAACATTAACATCTGAAAACAGATTCACCCATAGAAAAGCGAATAGAGCCTGATTCATTGTATTCATAAAGGAAACGAGTGCGAACTCTGACAAACTACAACTGTGGGATCACCAACAACAGTACGAATTAGGAGCTTGGGGATAGAAACGATGCATTCTTGAGATATTACGCCACCTATCACCGAGTAAACTCCGCCTGTAGCTCTTCCAAAGTTACTGCCGTTCCCAAGCCCGGGTAGAGGAGGGTTGGGTGTGGGGCAGGCAACCATAAGAACATTGAACTATGCCCTCTTAGTTGAAGGAGAATTTATGACACCGCATGATAAAAGCCGAGATTACTTGGAACTCACGAGGCCGAAGCCCCTTCTAACAATTTTTATAGGTATATGGAACGTCCGAAAAACGTGGAGGACCAGTTAATTAGCAACGGAAATGAGATACAACTTGGCAGTATGCGGAGTCAGCAAAACCCATTGGACCCAAACTGGACGGAAAAGTCTAGATACGGGAGAGATGCTGCTGTTCTCCGGTCACGAAGAAAAAATGCTCCACACAATCAGAGAGTTGCTCCGAGGCTGTCTAAAGAAGCACGAAATGCATTCATAGAGTGGGAATCTCATGGAGCCAGGACCATCAAAGCATTTTTCAAGAAAAAGAAGAAATCACAACAAATGTTATTCAGAAGAAACTACTACGGAGAATAGTTCGAAAGGGATCAGAGAAGCTCTAACTTCGACGTGTCAGGTGCCGGGCTGCAAGAAGGATCATACGGAATGATTCTCTGTCGAAACCCTGGAAAAAATTCAAAAAGGAAAAAGCAAGACAGCAAATGAGAACAACCGAATAAGGACAGAAAAAGTCAAGATACAAGGTGAGTACATAGGCAAACAAGCAAGTGTAGATGAGCATTAGAGCCGATAAGCAGAAATATGTGAAACACCTATCAACGACAGTGGAAAAAGCTGCAACGGAAGGAAATATGAAACAACGAAGAAAATAGCAGGAAAATATAGTAAACCAGAGAACAGTCAAGGACAAAGAAGGTAAATCAATCACCGAGATTCAATGACAAAGGAACAGATAGGCGCAACACTTCAAGAAACTCTTGAATAAGCCAGCTCCATCGAAGCAGCACACACCAATCTTCCTAAGAAGTCAGCATGGCTGCCAGACAAACCAAGAGTGAGAAAGCAGCAGAACCTGACAATATACCAGCTGAAGCACTTAAGTCAGACGGAAGTAACTCCAAGTATGCTTCACGTCCTATTCAAGAAAATTAGGGAGAAAGAACAAGTTCCGATGGACTGGAGAGAATGGCAACTCATCGACACACCAAAGAAACGAGATCTGGGTAAATGTGAGAAATATAGAGCAATCACACTACCATCAGTACCAGAAACAACTTTCGAAAGTCCTGCTAAACCGGATAAAGATTCAGTAGACTCCCAGCTTCAAGACCAATAGGCCGGATTCCGTAAAGATCAGTCATGCACAGATCAAATCGCAACACTACAGCGGACCGACGCATTCCAGGTGCGGACCGGAGTCAACCAAGATAGGTAAAGACAAACAATGTAGCAGCATCCGCGTCAGTAGGCCTCAATATGCACAAGTGTAAAAACAAGAACCCCAGGCACAACACAGGGAACATCAACACAATCTCATTTGGTGGAGAAGCTTTGGACCAGGTGAAATCTTTCGCGTACCTGAACAGCATCGATGGTGAACGTGTAGAGCGCTAACTTGGGATCGTGAAGGGAAACGAGAACGAAGAAGGCCAATGAGCACATCACTTCGGGAAATAGAAACAGACATGAAATTGGTGAAAAGCAACTGGAAAGGATTGACCAAGACAGCATTGCATGGAGAATGTCGGTGGACAGCCACTCTACGAGAAGTGACAGGCCTAAGTAAATCTCATCGAGTCCTAATATCAAACCAGCCTTTCAGGATATAAACACGCATCTACTGCAACGTCACAAGGTGTGTCTATCTGCACCTTAGATTCCACCGATGCTAAATTCCTCAAGTATACTTAGGAAAGACCAGTCTTTCAGTGGGTGCATTGGAGTTCAGTCTTCTGATAACGAAACTTCACAAAAACCACCTACCTGGCGAATAAATCTCTATCATCTCAAAAGCGTACTGGGGTATTTGGTTGAGTTTCAGAAGCGAACATGTCTAAACTAATTCCACTGAAAACACCTTGTCATTCTAACAAAGTCACGATGAACAGTGTCACATGGCTCAAGTATATTGGTGGCTTTCTACAAACGCAGCTATTACCAATACGATATATTGTAATATCCATGGTATTTGAATCAAAATGAGTGCAGCCAAGAAACCACATTAAAATCTCATAATAGGCTTTTGCATAGCCTTGAGTGAAATTGCGAAGATATTACTTCTCACACTGAGATAGTCAAATTAACACTCTTCATGGATTTTTGTACATATATTTCATAAATTTGAACACTCGACTCAGACTGATGGAATTCAGGGGCGGTTAAAGTAAATCGTGGGACTAGTCCATCACTAACTTTTGGTACGAGCCTTGTTGTTAGATGCAAACCACTTGGTTCGGGTCAGCTCAACTACCAAAACCAGTGGTTGGAAAATGGGTGACATGGCACAGGATCGACCACAGTAGCGTAGGTGTATGCACTCTTTGTCTTCCTTAAACCGTGAGATTAAAATTACTTTATGCCCTTCATTCTACCAAATACTATTTTCCGCCTCGATTATATCCTTACATGTAAACTTTTTTGCATTACTGGAGTAACTGCTATGAATTCGGTGCTGATCTTGTTGCGCTAGTGAGGTATGACAACTTGGACCGACGCATATATGTGCTTGGTCCTAAGTTGTAGATGACTAACTGACATCCAACCCAAATAACGAACTTCATAAACTAGAACTCATCAAAACAGTGTCGAAAGCCATATATCGATATTAAAATTATAGGATGTTTCAACCTATGACACGAAATTGAAGTTATACGTTCATCTTTACTTTGCCCGAAATTACAATACTACTGTACACCAACCGGGTATCCTTTTTGTTCAAATTATTGGTGGCTTGCTACTAGTTGCCCAAAAAGATAAGCTGAAGCAGAAAAAATACTAAGAAACGGGACGTATTATATTGGCTTTATTTTGAAGTGCAATCCAATTAGCGAGAACACCAGACACTTCAGGTCCTGAACTAGGTAGTAATATGTTCTTAATCCTTCAGGATCCCTTTGTTTAAAATTAGATTAAATGAGTCACTCACTTGCTATTCGTAATGTCAATCAAAGATCCAATTTTCGAAGTTGTGAAAGATATGTGTTCATCGCCACAAACAATTTCAAGCTCTTGACGGCCAACTCTATCAGGTACTGGCCACGAAGCATCATCTTCCGACATAATATCGCTCTCCAACACGATTCTCTTCAGTTCTTCCATTACAGAAGGACTTACGTACGCCTGGAGTATCATCTGAATTATAAAGTAATGGTACCTCTTTCCGAATCATTGTGTCATTTTTATAATTAGAGTTGTTAGCATATCTAAGCTTGCCTAAAAAAATCTACAAGTAAGAAAACTGTACCTTCAGGTCTGAACTCGAACTCAAGAAATTCATGTCCAAACTTGCCCTTATGACCAACGTAGTATCGCAAATAAAATGAGCTTGCCATTGGTCAACCACTGTTTTTGGAATTATCTCTATGTTGTCTCGACAGACGACCAGAATTTTTTCGAACACTACCTACATATAAAGAGACGAGAGTTAATTGGGTTGTAGTACCAAGCAACTCGAGTGATGAGTACGGGGAGATATTGGAAATACCTAATTTCGTACCATACTGATTCATATAAACTGCCAATGTGTTTGAAGTAGTAAGAATGTACATTACATATAGAAACGGCATTCAAGATCTGCATAGAACGCAACTGTCATACGTGAATGAGGTTTTGGGAGTTACTTCTACCAGGAAAGGTGAAAACGATAGAACGTAAGACAAGGTAACACATAATTCCCGAAAGGAATTCACTCATGATGTGAAAACGCCTCTTTGAAAAAGTCCTTTGCGCCTGACTAACACATAAAATATGCTGTTCTTTAACTAGATTTATAGTCAACTGATAGATCTCCCTTCTATTATATAACGACGAGAACACAATAAATACCCACAACCAATCCTCCAGACAAATCCCGCCTTACCAGACAGCACAATGTCCACTGCCGAAACACGACCTTGACAGTTGCATTAAACAGTTACGACATTATGACGTTACGAAAACTTAACCCATTCATTTATTATTTTTCCTTGTTGAATAAATCCTACGTAAAATTACATAGCATATAATTACTCGTCATCGCGATATTATTTTATTTGCACAGTGTAAACAACTGAATACCACTATAATAAGCTGTCATGGTTCGTTTACAAGCATATGCGGCATGTGAACTATCTAGTGTGTTATGTTTGTTCAAAATATCAACCACTCGTAATTCCAGCTCCCAAGTACTGTAAACATACGCATTCTTGCAAGATCTGCACATAATATAGCAAGGATTAGATCAATCAACAACTGAAAATACAAATTCTTGCTTTACCACTAAAATTTCTTACCCCAAAATACACTATGAACTGGTTTCTGTTATCTTTTCATAAACCTCCTGCTTTATTCATAACTGCCGATTATCCTTCACCGCACGAGAAGAAAGCATGCCAAAAGCTTACGGTAAGCTTGGATTATAAAACTTTTGTGATCTTATATCACGGTACTTTATCCTTTAATATGTTGATATTCTACCATTCTCTGCTTCTGAGTCTATTAGCTTTTAAATCATTGGATACCAAGGGTTTCGGACAAAATTTTTGTTGAAGCCTAGGTATTTCTGACCGCTGCGATGCCGTATTAAAAATCAACCGCATCAAACCTAATAAACTGCGAAATTACGAAACTAAATCATTCAGATTTCACCATTGCTTTTGAAAATTGTTTACTGTCTTTCTGACTATTCTCAGCACAATTACCATGCGCCACCATTATGCATACTAATCAGTAGTGATTTTTTAGTGACATGCAAAAATGACTGCCGTATACGAACAACACAAGTGAATAATATCTTTGAGCGAACATGACAAACAAATTTGTAGTGCTATAAATTTTGAAGTTTATCCATCGGTACCGAGGTCGGGACTTATTACTGTTATTATTATCTGTCCGGCCCTGCCGGTTCGTTTGACTTGTGTCTCATGGATCAGTGCACGTGTATATCGTGATTGAAACAATGGGAGGTAACATGCCAACCAAACGTATCAATGTTCTTTGCTGAACTTATTAATTTAGAGGCTCGCATGAAGTTTACTTGTAAAGGACAAAAGATGTACTGTGCAAGACGATGTGGTTCGTGACTGTTAACGATAAAATTGTGACATGAACAGCCGTTTATACCCTTTCATCACATTAATTGTAGAATATGTTTACAGGATATCATCCCAGAGTTGAATATTGACCATTCGTATATCAATCTGGAAAACGCCGTTGGACAAGTTGATTTATTTGGTTACCTGGTAGGTGATGTATTGCTCTCTTGCGATTATCATTGCCCGGCACATGTGGTTTCCATATGTAAGAGGGCAGGTCTTGTTTCAAACTCATTACAGCATAATCAAACCGACTTGCGATCTGATGACACAGTCATTCTCTCGAACCATCAATCTGGGTAGTAGAGTGATTCTGCTGCAAACCGTATACGACAATGTCACACCTGCTTTGAACCTGACAGTGGTTTACACCGATATTATATGCCTGAAGTCAGAGTAACAATCCTGGTTACATCTCACGTTGTTTTCGAAAATTGTTGAATATTTAACGTTTCAACTAACATTCAGCTCTCCCCGTTTATCGTCTCATCAAGATAAACTTCAGGTTATAGATATATAATCCATCACTATGCCACCAATATTTGTGGTCTCTAGGCCCTCTTGATTGTAGCAACTTTTGACAACCAGTTTGTAATCAGCGGTTAGAGTATAACAGAAGAATGAAAAAAATTCACGGGTCAGAATTGTGAAAAACAATTGTCTATCTGACAAGTATGAGTGCTACGTTTGAAGTGATTACGAGTTCACCTAGTTTGTGAACGGAATAAAAACTATGGGACCAAAAACCAATAAACTAGCTATTATGATGCGTCCCAGCCCCGCTAACCAAAGAGAAGCTGAAGTTCGAAAAAGGGAAAATATATTTTGCAAGCAGCTAGAAGCTCGAGCAATGAGACAGGTACAAACCAAAAGTTTATATACAGCGTAAAAGTGTCCATAAGAAACGCTACGAAGTGGCATACTAAAAGATACAACGAACCAATAGCGTTTAAGACTCTCCCAAGTAGGAAATATGACATGAAGCTGAAAATGGATGCTTTTTGCACGAAAACAAGAAATTCACATTTTTTAAATAATATTGGAAAAACAAGGTACTTATCAACTGAGTTCTGGCGATCTAACAATGAAGAAAAACGCAAGACACCACCAGAGACCAAAACCTGTTCCCAGCATGACATTGGGTTGGTAAAACATCTACTAAACTAGCTAGTACCCCAGAATATCTCCTCAGTCGCCTTGTTAAAGGTGCCTCGCTGCTCCTTCATTAATCCTTTCTCGGAATCTTGCTTTGAGTGCACATCTATGGACCTTATGATGCTAGGAACAAACTCAGTATACGCGTTTTCTCAAGGTCATAGTTCACAACAAGCGTTCCAGTAGTCGGCTTTATAATAATTTGCACGACCACAATCCCAACACAATTATGCCGAGCTTGGATCTGGTGTTTAACATGGACGCCATGTCATATTGGAAAATACTTTAAAGACTGTACAAACACATAGCATAAACCTAATGATTAACGCTCGAAGACATCTGCATGAATGTACTATTGTTCAGTTTTACTGATTATATCTATTGAACAACCCTACATGGGAGCCAACAAATGTTGTAATTTTTAGATAATGCCTGTAAAAATGGTGAGTATCTGCCCTTACAGAAATACATTATTATAACCTTGTGATCGTCATGAAAATTGTTAAAGGACAACAACTGATCACGATTTAAAACGACAAACTGTAACCTAAATATTACTGCAGAAAGGAATTCGAGGCAAGATAATAATAATTTATTCTCAAATGACACTTTGTTACATGGGGCATACCAGTTTAACGGGCAAGATCAAATTGTTACAAAAGATACAATAGTAAATTACACGGCTGGGTTTATATTTTAAAATATATGAATGTAGATGCTTTTATTAAGAATCGTATTTTCAGTACCACATTTGTCGCGCTCTATGAAGGTTGCGTAGCGACGTGCAACAGCAGCAATACAGTAATGTCGTGAAATGTTTTGCGCTACTCCATGTCTAGACCAAAATGGAATTCAAGTTCAGCCTTTCTTATTTTTCCTACCTTGCAATTGTATTAGTTACTTCTTCCACCCTATTTCTTCACTTGAAGTAGAAAGTTAACTCACTGGACCTATCGATACTGTTCAACTAAACTCGGTCGCTAAGGGACACTCACTACCACCCTAAAATATCAAGAGAACCGCACAATCGACTGCCTACTACCAGTGATCTTGCATCTATGGAGCCTGTTACCCATCAACTGGTTAGGTCAACACAAAATAACGTCAGCACCAAGTTGATGTGGGTTTCTTCCTGTTTATCCTGTATTAGCTTTTTACTCTTCTGTACACTATATTGACTAGCAATTTATATTATTTCTCCACTCGTTACCTTTTCTACAACTCATATACTTCTATTCTTTTCCGCCTGCATTAATAAACAACTACCATATATTCTACCCTTCTTAGTGCTTATACTCTAATCAAACTATACTTTATACTATAATCAATTAAAGCACTGCCTTACCCACAGTCCATAACTTGTAACTGCCTGATAAGCTTGTAAAACGGTACTTATAAAGATAGTGTTTTCCAACATGTTGTGAAACACAGAGGATTGTGTGAGGTATGACATATATCCAAAAATAAGCTTAAATGAGCCTAATATCACAAAAGGAGGGAGGGTGGATTTACTGACCACCAAGCATTGATGATGAGGGCGATGACTTCGACCCACCCATCTTTATGGGGGCAGAACATTTTGTATGTATCAGGTTCTTTATAACTGAGAATAAGTCAATCAACCTGTGATATAGACTGTCTTCCTACGCTCACCACTCAGGCTAATGTTTCCAATTTTATGCTGGATTAGCTATTCTACTAAGACAACCTATAACATACTAACTCGGAATTTTACACTAGGATTGTATGGCCGTCATCGTAAGGACAAAAACGAAAAGAGAGAAAAAAATAGAGGATAAAAGATATAGTCATTAGTATTCTCAACATTTCACCCTCTATATGCACACCCCGTTCCAATAAACCGCTTTCCTTGTAATAATAATAATAATAATAATAATTTATTCTCAAATAACAGCTTGTTACATGAGACATGCCAGTTTACAGGCAAGATCAAATTGATACAAATGATACAATATCCACTGTAGTAAATTACTCAGCTGGGTTGATAATTTATAAGATATAAATGTAGATGGTTTTAATCAGTACTGTAGTTGGCGCGTTTCATAAAAGTTGAGTTGCGAATGTGCAACTGATGGTCAAGGATA